AAAAAAAAAAAAAGAAAAAGAAAAAAATCCCAGGGCCTTTTTGTCAGAAAAGCGTTCACCTTCCATCAGTCCCTCCAAGCTTCCCTGCCTGGTCCCCTGCAGCCCATCTATGAGCTGCCCTGGAAGTCCTTCCTCTGAGGGATCAGGGATAACTGCTGCCAGCAAATAGCCCTCGTTCCAGCTGCTGACCTTGGATTTCCCCAGTGTACACAAAATATAACTAAAAGGAAATTCTCAGCAGAAATGGAACATGAAAGCTCTAACACATTCAGCAACCTAACTGATCTGGCACGGGTTTTCCCCTTCCTGCTAATGCTAACAGACTCGGGGGAAAAGCCCAAAAAGGCCTGTGTAGATTCTTCTAAAATATTAGACATATAATATGTGGAGCCCCAGCCTCTGGGGCTTCCTTCCCACCTTCCTTACACAGCCTCGGTTTAGTGTGTTGAAACAACTGACTCTTACCTCTGTGATTTTCTAGGGGTGAGGGGCCAACTGGTCCAGGTTCTTTGTTGAATTACTAAATGAACCAACCCTGGGTCATGCTCAGAGTTCTTGTGTAACACAGTATAATACAATTCCCTCATTATTTAAAGCACTTTTGATGGTGGCTTCTTTTACAGCTGAAACAGCCCAATTGTCATCAGGATGGAAAGAGGACATTTTGATATAGGTGTTTTCCAGAAAGGTAGATAATAAAAGACCTCAGGGGGTCTTCTTTCGAGCAGTGCTACTCCAAGTGTGGTTCGTGCGGCACTGCCCCGAGTTTGTCAGAAATGCAAACTGCAAAGGGCTGATCAGACGGATCAAATCAGGTTGCCAGGGGTGCGCCTGGGACTCGGTGTTTTAACAAAGTCCCCCTCTAGTGGTTTGGATGCAGCTGGAATTGGACCTAGGAGACTCCTACAGAGGGAGGTGGAGGGGGGTGTGTGTGACGGTCCTCCAGTGGAAGGGCTGGGCCACTAGCTCATCTTTGACCTCACCAAAGCTGTTTAATCTTCCAGGCCTCGCAACAGCGAAAAAGCAGATGAGGAACTGGGTATGAAAATGGTTTGAAAGGGCTAAAAGCCTTGGTCCCGAGAAGAGTCCCTGAACTGACCTGGTCCCAGGCAC